TCATTGTGAAATATTAGAGCTGTCAAGGTGTTATAGAGTTTGACAGAGATAAGCAGAACATGTATGAGTCACATTTCTGTAAAAACAAATACAAGTGATACAAACTGCACTTGATTACAGATCCCAACTCATACAGTGAATGCTTCTGTGCTAAAACAACACTTTAAGATAGCATATATACATATAACAGATATTTAATATTTAACGTTTAGTAAACCAAAATTATTCTATTCTCAGGTATTGTATTCATTGGTAGAATGATGCTGACTGTATTTGAAACACGTTTGACATGATTACGTCATGTTTGTTTTTACACTCGCAGCTTTGCGCTGGCAAGCATCATGCATGTTATTATGCCTGCAGTGAAGTGACATTGAGCTGCAGTGAACTTCACTCCTGATGTGTGTTGCAGGAATGATGAGGGGGAGGCCGGGGCTAGTTGTCACATGGGATATATCTCCGTAACTACAATTTTGACTCATAAGTCCAATTACACCAATGTATGTTTTCTCCAGCAAAGGGTTTGTGGTTTAGTTATAAATGTCTAGTTCAAAACCCTTTCAAATTAGTTTTTTTGTGTGTGTGTGTGAATTCTGTCTTCTAAGTTAGATCTATGATTAAGCACATTTTTGTATGTTTTGTTTGTCAAGTTATAATTCTTTATAATCGTAAATATGAAACTTGTATACTCTTTTTGTTATGTCATTTTTCACCATTTTATAACACCAGTCTTTTGAAAATGTGCAGTTTTATACACTATTTGCAGATAGCTGTTCAAATTCACATTCTCTTTAAATGTTGTACCTGGTTAAAGAAGTGAACATTATGCTAACCTTAAAAAATAATGTTGTTAGAAACCAGACATTTTAACGTTCTTTGAATGTTCCAGATCAACATCCGAAAATGTTGAGTTGTTAATAAAAGTTTAGTTGAAGGAACATTTCAGGAACATCATACTAACCTCTAAATAACATCCTGTTAATATTAAAGAAACTAGAAGCTAGTAATAGAATTTGGTGGAAAGAAAATTGCAGGAACATTATGCTAACCGTAAAATAACGTTTGAATATCATTATACTGATTTTTGGCTTTAGCTGTGTTAACAAATGAACTCAGTAAAGCCACACTTAGCAGACTAGGCAACTAAATTATAAAGGTATAGTTAACAAGAAAGCGTAAAGTTTGTTCAAGTTGTTACACATGTCAAAAATCAACACACATTGTTGTGTTGACAGCATTCTGGCACACGTTTTGTTGGATTTTAACCCTCAACTTTATCCCGGAGATCTTTTGACAGTGCCTTGCCACCCATAGTTGATTGTTTGCTTCAGTTTCACTACCAAGTACTGAAATACTCCAGGAAAGCTCTTTTCATGCTGAGTTCAAAACCCTTTCAAATTAGTTTTTTTGTGTGTGTGTGAATTCTGTCTTCTAAGTTAGATCTATGATTAAGCACATTTTTGTATGTTTTGTTTGTCAAGTTATAATTCTTTATAATCGTAAATATGAAACTTGTATACTCTTTTTGTTGTCATTTGTCACCATTTTATAACACCAGTCTTTTGAAAATGTGCAGTTTTATACACTATTTGCAGATAGCTGTTCAAATTCACATTCTCTTTAAATGTTGTACCTGGTTAAAGAAGTGAACATTATGCTAACCTTAAAAAATAATGTTGTTAGAAACCAGACATTTTAACGTTCTTTGAATGTTCCAGATCAACATCCGAAAATGTTGAGTTGTTAATAAAAGTTTAGTTGAAGGAACATTTCAGGAACATCATACTAACCTCTAAATAACATCCTGTTAATATTAAAGAAACTAGAAGCTAGTAATAGAATTTGGTGGAAAGAAAATTGCAGGAACATTATGCTAACCGTAAAATAACGTTTGAATATCATTATACTGATTTTTGGCTTTAGCTGTGTTAACAAATGAACTCAGTAAAGCCACACTTAGCAGACTAGGCAACTAAATTATAAAGGTATAGTTAACAAGAAAGTGTAAAGTTTGTTCAAGTTGTTACACATGTCAAAAATCAACACACATTGTTGTGTTGACAGCATTCTGGCACACGTTTTGTTGGATTTTAACCCTCAACTTTATCCCGGAGATCTTTTGACAGTGCCTTGCCACCCATAGTTGATTGTTTGCTTCAGTTTCACTACCAAGTACTGAAATACTCCAGGAAAGCTCTTTTCATGCTGAGCTGATCAAAACAATCACAGCTGATCACAGTTGAAACTCAAATGGCTTTGTGTGCCATTGAGAAGGTGATTAGCTACAACTGATTGAGTTAACAAGTCATTTTTAAGAGGGGGGTGATCCTTTTCCCAACTAAGTGTTTCTGTTTTTTTTCTTTTTCTGACATGTCAGTGTTATGCATTTCTCTTGGATGTTATAAATTGTAAATACAGCTGGATTAAACAAAAACTGTGTCCGTCTTCATTTCAGGCTGCAAAGCAACAAAATGTGATTATTTTAATGAGGGCTGATTCTTCTCTATACCCACTGTATATTTTTAACGCCAATAGGCAACAATTTTTTTAATCTTCCAGTTTGTGAATCAAAGGAGTAAAAAAAATTAAACCACTTTAAATTAGCAGCCAGCATGTCTCCCTATACCTCCATTAATGTAGCATGTTCCAGTGCCAAATGAACAGGGTGGCCTGCACTCTCTACTTCAAAGCAAAGCAGCAGTGATGACTGAGGAACACAAGAAAATGGGAACATTTAAGATAAAGGCCAGGAGACTGCTTGTCAAAGTATGTGTCTGTCACTTGGTGGAGAAGCATGAATTGTAAGTATATAAACTCCAAAAATATTGGACCACACTGAATTTTACTCGATTGTCTTTGCCATAACAGATAACAGTGTTGATATTGTACATGCCATGTGTCTATGGATTTTGCTCTGCTCTGTTCTTATGTACCCATCAAGTGCTGAAAAGTTGTTTTAGTCACCACTTTCCCATCTTTGCGGGTTCAGACTAAAATGAGATGGATTGTAAGTAATGTCTAATTAATGTCCAAAACAGCCAAATGTGATTTGTACACTGAAGGAATATTGTTTGTTGCATTCCTTGACTTTTGTCAGGTGGTCTTTAATTTCCCACCTTATTTTTCAAGAGAGAGCGGGCACGGGCATTTGTAGCTTGAATGTGTTTGGCTTCCAGTGTCATTCGCATCCAGTTATTTTACCTGTACAGAGAACATACCTTCAATTAAACCAGCAATGGAGAAGATGTACATCAGAAATATGTCTTTTGGCTATCAAAGAGGACTCCCACAATGGCTGAAAATCCAGTGCTTCTTTGATATGTCAATTCTGGTAGATCTCATTGCAGTTCACTCATTATTTATTTTCTCATAAGATATTTTATATCACTCGTAAGATATTTTAATAGACAATGCATACGTTCTGATATTGCTGGTAACACTGTTGATTTAGAATATGTTCTGAAACTGTTCCCTCTTTAAGCTGGATGTTGAGTTTGGAAAAATTAACAGATGGAAAGACTGAGAAGTTGAAAGTTGAAGCTGCCATGGAAAGGAGTGCTGTTGCATCTCTTATAGACGAGATGCACAGATATGACAGATATATTCATGTGTGAACTCATTACTTACACACATCTCCTGTGGATAATTTGTTGTAACAAATATTCACTTGTGAATATATTTCTATTAATATATTCACGTATGACTTGACCTGAAGAAGGTCTGAAAATCATTGCTGTGTTAAACCTGCAATTTCATTCCTTCAAATTCATTTTGTACCGGTATGTTTTACATGCACTGTTATATTTGTAATGATGCCTTAGCGCATTCGAAACTTCTGAAATGTATTAGTTTTTTCCCTTAACTTCAAGCCTAGAGCTAATACTGCACCACAACTATGGAGTTGGAAGAGCATCAGACCATGTAATTGATGTTGGTAACTATTTTTAATGAATACTGTTGTTAATAGCTAGTGCATTACAAATGCATTTTGGTTATGAAGCAAAATTTAACTTTATGACTTTATGAGATTACGTTGATCTTATGTTATAAGAAATGATATCCACTAGTCTTAACTGTGTATGATTGTTTCAGTTGACCATAAGTATAGCTGATATTGGTAACAGTTTTTAATGTATACTGTATTGTAGCGAATAGCTGTAGAACATTACAAAGCATTTGTGCCATCAAATCATCTTAAGCAGAATTTATGCAATTGAGATTTAAAACATTTTGATGTGCCAGTGTGCATACATTGTTCTCTACCCAGACAACATTTGACCATACCTTACATATTTTTTTTTACATCTGTCCGTTTTGATTTTGTAGAATTACAAATGGCTGGTCATGTTTTATATTTTGGTTATATTAATGCATTAATTTGCAGTTTCTGGTTGCACATAACATTGTGTTTAAATGACAATGTGTTTTAACATCTCTTTTTGTAGTGCACGTGTTTACTTATTATTAATATTTGTATTAATTTTTGCTGGTTTATGAATTGTTTGTTTCATGATTGTTTTAATGTTCATATTTTGCTGAAAAGGTCATTTATGGATGATTTCATTGTACCCTGTTGTCACAACGTGCCATAAAAAAGGTGAATGAATAAAAATTAATAGCTGTTTATTATTCTTTTTTTAAGTTTTGCCTAAAAATAAACAAAACTCGATCTTTTTTAGGTACAGAGTATCTCCTCAGCAATTTAATAAACATCGTAATTGGCAGTGGCGCAAAGAGAGTTATAGGCGCAGCAGCTCTCTGCCCTGCATGCAATGCCTTTCTGTAGTATGTTTGTGAAAACTGTGCCATGCATAAATGCATATATACTGCCCCAAAACAGTGTAGCCCTCGAAGTCCAACATATGGCAGTGCGCATCTCCAATCCGAGGAGGAGGCATTTGTCTGGAGTGCCATTCAGACCAATGACAGCAGCATGTGGGCGTGTGTTGAGAGTGTGTGAGGTGCTTTTTGAGTTTAGTAAATGACTGCAGCAAGAAATACAGTGGGGCTGAGGGGCTTATGAGCGATGGAACAGGCTCTGTGTGCTGAAATATCAGCGTTTGGGCTTTTCTGACGAGGATTCAAGAAAGGCGTTGAAACCAAAAATGAGCAGCGTCTCGTAACTGGACCAGACAATGGAAGTAGCTTCATGCAGCACTAACAATTCACCCCTGGGAAACAAGAACGCACTAAATCAGGCTACCTCAGCCAGAGGTAGCTAAAAACTAACGCGTGGCTCGAAAGCGGCACATTTGTTCATTGGGATGCGCGTAAAAAGGCGCGCGGAGGAAAAGAGCAGACGCGTATGTATATTTTCCCAATGACTTTGGAGACATTCCGGCGCTCTGAGGAGATATAGTGCATAGTTTCGGATGTTTTAAATGTTTGCGATGGAGCGTCTTTGAATATTTTGGCGACTGCGCATGTAATGCTGCTATGGATCGTCCGGAATGAACATCTGAATTGGTCTCATCGAGTTTTTTTCCACAGCGCTGCTTCCAGCTGAAATTCCGCAACCCGCGTGAAACTGGAGCTCCGCTTCACCTGCTCAGCCGCTGTCGGGAAGATGACCAGCTGCTTGTCTGCATGCTCTTGAGACTTGTTTGGCCTTTCTGGGAATCTGAAACAAGCAAAGCACGAATTGTTCACCTCAGAAGTGAGAGAAGAAGGAATTGTAGGGTGCACTGAGCTGTAGCGAACTACATCCACTCATCTCCAACCTGACACAATGTTCGCACTCGGGATTTATTTGTGGGAAACTATTGTGTTTTTCAGGTACGTATCGCGCAGGAGTGTTTTCTTTTTATGCTATTTAGGCTGTTGTTTCCTAACGATATAGGTTTAAAAAAAAAAAATTTTTTTAACTTTTGCTCAGAATGTTGTATTTAAGGAAATATGTATGATCATTTCAAGTAATGATTGACTCGCTGGCCTGCTAATTCATCTACTGTAATCGCATGTCTGCTAATTAAAAATAAGTCATAATTCAGTGTCATTCAGGCATCCAAGTCAAAATGGAAAGGATTCCCTTTAAAACAGGCTAAACAGCGAACACTAGTGGTGATTTGAGGAATAGAATGTTATCAACAGGCATGAAGGCACCTGTAATGAATGAGGCAGTGTTATTAAAGGGGTCATATGATGTTGCTAAAAAGAATATTATTTGGTGTAATGAGATGTGTTTATGCGGTTTAAGGTTAAAAAAACACATTATTTTCCACATACTGTACATTACTGTTTCTCCTCTATGCCCCGCCTTTCTGAAACACGTCGATTTTTACAAAGCTCATCGTTCTGAAAAAGCGAGGTGTGCTCTGATTGGCCAGCTATCCAGTGCGTTGTGATTGGCTGAATGCCTCAAGCGTGTGATGGAAATGTTACGCCCCTCACCATACTGTGATGCCTGCGGCCGCATGTGACGACCCCGGGCTGGACTCGCTTCGTCCATGGCGATCTACAGCGCAAAGTTGATGTATTCCCTCAGCGACCAGCACGGATCAGCTCTAGGCATGATGAAGCGATATCGTCCTCTTTTGGAAGACCAAACAAAGTAGTTTTGCTTTCACAACGAAGCACACAGCGCCTTCACGACATGGCGGCTGCGGCAACAATACTACAGCGAGAATAAAAGTTACGCCTTCATTTGGGCGGCATTATGCAAATGTTCCCACATAGTGACGTAGACATGTGGGGGCGTGTTCGAACGAGCCGTTTTAGGTAGGCGTGGCTGACTCTTAACTTTTATAAAGAATATCTCTTTGGATTTGAGACTTTAGTCTTTGCATCTTTACAGATCTTCTTTATGCACCAAGAGCTTGTAACACTCCAAAGAGAAAGGAACAATTGAAATCGCATCATTTGACCCCTTTAAAAAGTGTGCGATTTATTTATTAAAACGTTTTAGTAGAATTAATTATTTTTTTATTAATAATTTCTGTCTGTAATGTTCTGATTGTTATGGGTTGAGATTCGTCTTGCACTGTGTTTGTCAACCCACGTATCGCAGTTAGCGATATAGTCAGCTGTCTTAAAGACATAGGCCTAACAACAATTTTTGTAATATTTTTGTGATGTGTAAATCATAAAAAAAAATAATAATGACAATATTTATGTTTTATTAGCGGTAGACAACGATTAGGCTGCTGTTGCTATGGTAACGTCCTAGCGCAATGGCATTTTCGAACATTACATTTAGCGCGCGTTGCAAACTTTTGTTGTTAATGAAACATTATTTGAAAACGATACTGAAATATATAATTATGTATTAGCAATAAATACTTTCAAGTCCCCCTCCCTGTTTCTTTGGGTGTTCATGGCTTTAATTAGCGGATCAGAATCTCTAACTCCCCCTCCCCCCCAAAAATTTTTTTATGGTTTATTATGACAAAATTATGATTAAAAACATCATTAAATATTATTATTAATAATAATAATAATAATAATTATTATTATTATTATTATTATTATATGTATATTATTATTGTTATTATTTTATTATTATTATTAAATGATAATAATATTTAATAATAATAATTTGAATAATAATATTTCTTTAAAAAAAATAATATCTCTGTCTGTCTGTCTGTCTGTCTGTCTGTCTGTCTGTTTATCTAGCTGTCTGTCTGTCTATCTGTCTGTCTGTCTGTCTGTCTGTCTGTCTAT